TACAATCTCAAACACTAAACTACTTCAAGTCACAAACCAAGAAACTCTAGACAGTATCATAACCAAGAGAAGATGGAAATGGCTTGGCCACTTTATGAGAATGTATCCTTTTATACCTGCTAAAACAGCTCTCACATGGACACCAGAGGGAAAGAGAAAACAGAGGCGCCCAAAAACAACATGGAGACGAACGATAAAGAGTGACCTGAATGCGGTATCTCTGACATGGAAAACTGCACTCAAGGTTGCACAGGACATGAAAGCATGGAAAGTCCTATATGAAGCCTCATGTGCCACTAGGCACAAAGAGAATTGATGATGATGATGATGATGATATCTTCTTTGTGACGTCCTAATTAACAAAGCAGGCAGGTTTGTGCATCTGTTGCTGACTTTAGAAAAGTGACCTGTTAGTTAGTTAATCGACAGATTACAATCATTGCACATCGGGCACGTCCATAAGAGGTCGGATCCCATGGTCAGTATATCTCCCACCGTGTGGCGACTGATAACCGACTTATGTGTTGGTTTACTATTCTTCTTTGGCTACCTTTATATTGTTCATGTTAGGCGACACCTTTGACCTGGAGTTCTTGTAGTCTTCTAAGTGTTGCCGACTTACCATCATCTGCTGAATCATTTTCTCGTCCTACCTTTTTGAGAGCATTGAGAATGTCGACAGTGTCCTTTGCTTTACCAGTACCTACCTTGGCCCTGCCAGCAAGCCAATTTGCTCGTTCATTTCCTCTAACTCCAAAGTGTCCTGGCACAGAAACTAAACTGACGCGTGTCAGACGAGATGTCCTCATCGACTCCCATCATTGTCTTCGAATCCACCATGTTTAAATCTTCTTAAGCATGCTCTTTTAATCCCTTAGACAGCATGTCTCAAAACAAATTGTGTGACCTGATTGATCTTTCATATATCTCCTCCCACTGACTCAGGTAACGGTTATGTAAAATTCATTAATTTGGTTATCATAACTTGTTTCTTGTGTAGGGCATATATCATGTATTTACTCCCAATTTTTAACGGTACGGCTACTTCTGTTTTCAGAATGGAAGCATCACCAACATACCCGCCTGGTCTTACATTCATCCAGCTATATCATCACCCGATCATGAATATTGCTGACGACGCCTTCGACTCATCGGCGGGTACATTAGAAACTGTGATAATTGAAGAGTCAAATCTCACCAGTTTACCAACAGCACCAAAGAAACTGACCAAATTAACAGACCTAAATATTCGCAATACATCTAAACAGGTATGGAATAATGCTATACTGAAACAGACTGCTGCCACTGTTGAGAACTTACAACTCAGCAATGTCAGTTTGTCTACATGGCCAAGTTGGGTTTCTCACTTTCGTTTGTTGCGTACTTGAGACCTTAGTTGGAACCCCCTGAAAACTATTCCTGTCAACGCGTTCAACTCTTTTAAAGATTCAGTAACAGTTCTTTATTTAAGAGGTTCTGGTTTGACACGTACCACTAGCTTTGTCCACACTCTCAAGTTTGATCAGTCTCGACTTGCGAAACAGCAGTTTAACAGATGTGTCCGAATTTAAACGTATAACTGGGTCACTGTTTGCTGAAAATCTGTCTAACTTATTTTTAGACTCCAGTGGGTTGATCAGAGCAGCGAACTTCACAAACTTGACAAGTGTAAAAGTAATTAGCTTATCTAACAATAGAATATCAGAAGTCCCTACTGGCTCGCTTCCCACATCTCTGACATCACTGGAGCTTTCAAATAACAGTCTTACATCTGTACCAGCAGATGTTGCTGATTTGTCCAGTCTTGCGTACTTAGACCTGTCTAACCACCGAATCACAGCTGTTGAACCAAAGTTGTTTCCTTCCAGTCTGATAATTCTTGCTCTGCACTTTAACAACTTAACAGTCATTACAAACACTAAGTTCAAAGATCTCACTCTCGTGGAAACTCTTTGTTTGAGTTACAATCCCATTGCAACAATAGAACCTGCAGCATTCACGGATCTGGTATCGTTGCATTACTTTTCAATGGCAAACTCCCACCTGACAGAAATTAATCTAGCTTTTGCCTTGTTGAACCCAGAGCCACAACTATCCATCACTAGGACTCAGCCATTGTCCTGTCCTTGTCCAGCTCAACAGGAACTAGTTAAATGGCGCACTGGAGAACCCTTGGCGACTTGCCACTGATAATGCAGGTTCATGGATGCAGCTCAATTAAGCTGCGCATGCGAGACCGTTATCATTAGAGCATTGAAAAAAAAAATCATTACTAGTTTACAAAGTATAAATAAACAAGAGCTTTCGATGAATAAGCAGTTTCCCAAAGTCAGAACACATGTCGCATTCTCAAAAGGTTAGTATGTAGAACCAAACACTACTTTTTGTTTGTTTGTTCAAAAATTGTCTTGTTGGTTTGTTTTATTTTATCGTTTTAAATCGTGTCTGGTTGTAACTTTCTAGAGAGTATATAAAGTGACTTATGTTGCCACCTTTCATTTGAATACACATTTGCTGTTTAAGAAGGTTAGTGGCCTTTTTATTAACTACATTTTCCCTTTCGGAATCGTTAGTCTCAATGGGGGAACGGGGCAGGCAAAAAAAAAAAGGGGGGGGGGGTGAGTGGTGTATTAGGCCCATAGGCCAATCAGAAGTATGTCGTAAAAGGCAAAAAATTATAAGTGTAGTGAATTCCGATGTAGTGGGCTGAAGAGCCATATATCGCAGCCTAACTGTCAACCACAAAGGTAAGGAAACCGCTACTATTCGTTACCTCAGTCCAGAGCTTTAAAACGAAAAAATGCCCAAAGTAAGTTACGCTGCGGTTGAGAGTTTTCAAATTAGTACTTCAGTTATAAAAGATTCACTAATCTGCTTCATTTATGTAATTGTTAACAATTGTATGCACCTGACGAGATACAGCGAAATATGTCAGGTAAAACATTGTGCAGTCTGTTGTTTGTGTCTTTTTTGTTCAAAATAATTATGAGTCTGCTGAATTCGGATGTGGTGGGCTAAAGGGTCAGATACCAGAACCTAGCCGTAGACCACAAAATAACACAGTAGGAAAAAAAAGTTGACTACATTCAACTCTGAACAGTCCATACTCGTCAATGTGGGATGCTGTGATTACCCCACTGATCTAGTATATATGACTAGGGCAGTTATAAAAGAATATGGTCAATATCACGCCGACTGCCTTTACTTTCCAAGACATTTCGGTGTGGCCTGGATCTTCTTCTTCTTTATTCACCAGCTGTAAGTTCCGGCTAAAAGTCCTAATTGTGCGTCCATATGAACATTCGCTTTAAGCGAAGACCTGCGGTTTGCGTGTACATCCGGTTTACTGGCTTATCCGTGTGCAGCTGGTTGTTCCTTGCCGCTCGGGCAGATGCACTTGCAACTTTGAAGGAAGCTCCCAATAAGTCGATTCCTACGACATGCTTGTTGGGAAGGCAGTGTTTTTTTAAGTTTTCTCATAATAGGGCCCCTGAACCCACACTCAGTGTTTAGGCAGGTTGATCTGTGAGCCAGTATTATTATTATTATTGTTATTATTATTACTATTATTATTATTATTATTATTATTATTATTATTACTGTTATAATTGATACTATTATTATTAATAGTATTATTATTATTATTATCATTATTATTATTATTATCATTATTATTGTTATTATCATTATTATTGTTATTATTATTATCATTATTATTATTATCATTATCATTATTATTATTATCATTATCATTATTATTATTATTATCATTATTATTATTAATATTATTATTATTATTAAAACTGCAAGGGGCGTAATCCAACCTAAGGCTTCGGATCGACAGAAAAGCTTCTGCTCAGCGGGCTATCGCAGACCGGAATAGTTGTAGAGCTATGGATAGCATTGATCTTAAGTTCTGTGTGTCGGTTTCTGGGCTCTATTTTTTAGAACAAAGAATAAACCCATTGTCCCACTAACAAACATGTCGTAGGAGGAGACTAATTATGTTTTTTCTTGGAAACTAGAGTGGGCCTTCCTGAAAGGCAGGAATCAAAGTACATGACTGGACGAACAGCCAGAATATTCCATTGAAGTTTACAGCAGGTGAACGTTAGCAAGAAGACAGAGATTTATTGTCATTGTTTACAAGAAGGAAAGCAAATACTGTACATTTACACAACACACACACACACACACGCGCGCGCACACACACACGCACACACACACACACACACACACACACACAAAGACACGCTGAAATAGAACGAACGAACGAACTTTATTTTCAAAGGGTCACAAATTGGGCACGCAGGCCCGTCTGACATTCGGCCTTCTACGCACTCATTTTTCAGAGTACCAATGCCTGTTATTAATAATGCATGCTATGGATATAATAAAGAAATATAAATTATAGAATAATGCATACACACATCATTTGTACACAATCGTACACACTCACACACACGAATACATACCCCTACGTTCTTAGAGCGAGAGCAAGAGAGAGAGAGAGAGAGAGAGAGAGAGAGAGAGAGAGAGAGAGAGAGAGAGAGGAGAACCATACAACATTAATAACGTAAAAGGTAATTATGAGTAAATAATGGCGCCGATGTGTTAGTTTATATTTATTTACTAATCAAACAAATACGAGACACAACACTATACACAGTGAAGTATGCTACTTCTGCTTCTCATTAGCATTCATGATCTGTGAACACCGGTTGAAAGTGTTTCCAAGCCTGAGATGTGTTTCATCTTGGGTTTTGCGGGCACATCCGTTTTGCAGATCTGGCTTACTTGTGTTTAGACTGTTGTTTCGTCGTTCCGGGCAAATGCGCCCGGACTTCAAAGGCAGGACTCCTAACTAGGCGACTTCTACGACATGCTTTAAAGGCTGGCAGTGGGTCTATGGGGACGCGGATCCTACGCAGCAAGAGCAAGCATAAAAAAACTCACTTCATATTTCCTTGTGCGTTGTCAGATAAACGGGCAGCTACAAGATGGTGATGGAACTTACCAGAAACCTTCACATTGTGCTGTTGATTGGAGTCGTGTGTGTCGTGCAGGCGATTGCTGTCATTTGCCCCTACAGCGACCTGGTGAGTCATATATCGTTCTTGTTATTAAATGTGGTTTCTTTTTATTTCACCTCATCTCGTTAAGAGATTTCGTGAAGTTCTGAGGATAGTCCAGTATGACGGAGGTGGGGGGAGAGGGGGGGGGGAGAATAGGGTTCGTGTTAGTCGATGTTCATATAATATTATAACACCAATATGCTACTGGATTTTCCCGAGAACTCCTCACGAAATTAAGTCCCTTAGATCGGAAAAAAATAACTAGCAAAAAAAAAAAAAAAGTTACCTCTTTAGTCCTAAACAGTTTCCATTTTCATTTTTAAATAAATGAACTACTTTTGGCCATTGATTTTGTTTGGCAGCATGCAGTACCATCATAGTTGTTTACGCATCATTATTATAGGTCTACTGTCATAGACACTTTGTCGTGTTGTTTCTTTATTCAAGTGTTTTGTGTGTGTGGAAACTTACTGATTAGATATGCAAAGCCAGTCGCCTCGTCATGGCCGAAGTCACCCATGAATCAAAAGCAATACCTTTTCCTTAGAATGTAACTAACCTTGGTAATTTTAATTAGCCTCTGTCAGCTTACTCATAAATATTCATGTGCACTTACACTTCCTCTGACCTCTGGCATACTTACATACTAATGTAAGCACGCACACAACTAGACAATGGGTGCCTACAGAAATCAAGCACAATAAAAGAAAAGGAAAAAACCCTGTTCCACTCCGTCAAGTGTATTGGTCTAGACCTTTTATAGACCAGACGGCACTTGATGGCTGATGTGGGTGGCATCCTGAAGGCCTTCTTTACTATTAAGCAGGATATATGGTTGAAAATCGACAATCTTCCCGCTGAATTGTAATAAGAGCGATATTCTACAAAAGACATCGCCTCATAAAATAGAGACAACGGTGTGGGCGCTGCCGTTTCTTTAACTGTCTCAGGGGTTCCATCTGTAAGCTATTGTCTCTCAGTGTCTTCAATCTCTGAGGTAGATCTGAGCTGGTCATCTCAATCATTGTCTTCCATGTGTCCGCAGATATGCTCGTGTGATTCCGAGATACTATGCTACGGTCTGCAACAAATCCCGCCGCTAATTACCGGAGATAATGTGGGCAAGTTTACATACCTGACATTTCAGGTAAGTCAATTTAGCAGCAGCTTTCGAGGATCGTTTCCTTGATGTCACCCCATCTCGGGGACTGAGATTTCGGGGGAAGTTTCCGTTTAAGTCGAATATTATAAGAGGGATAGGATTAGTCTTATTCGGTGTTTTTTTTCACACACTAACACCCCTATATTACTGGACTTTTCCGGGAACTTCCCATGAAATATCGGAGTTCCCACATTGGAATGAAATAAAAGAGAAGAACTGCCTTCTTATCATCAGATTTCTGTCTGTATATAATAAATATAGTAGCAATTGCCTTTTACTTGAAGACTCTTTAAAGCCAGTAGCGAGTTTGGCATATGATGCTAAACCCATAATTTATAGACCGATGGTCACGAGGGGAGTAATGTGGTCAACACGATCCGGCCATCTTTTACTTCCAGGTCATTACCGGACACACATCTGTGCTAAGTCGCCCGGGCAGACATTGTCCATTCTGAGAACAAACACAAACACAAGACAACAGTTTATGGATTTGACTCGGAATTTTCGGTGGCAGACGGGTGGTCAGCCACCATACCACTGCGGATGTCTATTGTAACATGATACTATAAGTCACGTGACGTTTCTGCGGTGAAACAACATTCAAAATCGCATACACACATTATTTTAGTGGTCATTCTAACTTATGTTGAATTATCTACCGTTTCTGTTATTTCTATTTACCGGCACACAATCATTGCAAGGTTTGAACAAAGAAGACGCAAACAATAGATTGCACAATTTACTACTTGGCATATTTCGCTGTATGTCGTCAGGTGCATACTACAGTAACAATTTCATAAATGAAGCAAATGAGTGAATCATTTATAACTGAAGTACAAGATCAACAACAATCAAACACCACTGCATATTTACCAGGGCAGTGACCTTGTCTGTGTGCATTGTACTATGCAACTGACGAGATACAACAAAATATGTCCGGCAATAAATTGTACAATCTATTGTTTGCGTCTTTTGTATTCAAATTTCCAACTGGGAAACATTGCTTTAATATTGCAATTTGTTAGAAAAGAATAATACAGGGCACACAGGGAGTGATGCGTCCAGACCAAACAAAACACATACAAAACACCACTTAACACTTTTACAGTGGACAATACGTTAAAAAGTCGTTATGAGAGTAAGTGGAAAGTTGATAAAACGCCATAAGGAATGACCTGAAATTTCCGAACGTAAATCAAGATTTTATTTACTCACAATTATTTTGAAAACTTGCTTTTTACGTCTCATAATTATAGGCGGACTGGCAGTTCATGGCTTGATTTAGTCAACTTATGTATAACTTTTTTCTTCTCACGATTTCACTCAACTCTTCATCAAATACATCTCTTGACAAATGTCTGTCTCTCTATACATGCATGTCTCAGGTACCTCCTTCATCTGACATCGATAGTGAGTATGTATAACTTATCATTTCAGCCACGTTCACTTTCCCATATCTGGTTCTACCGTGGTTGTGTGTACTCTTTATTCACTCAGTCGGAACACTTGTCACTCCTAGTGTTTGCTTTGTTTTCAGGTTGGAAACATCACTAACATACCCAGCAATAGTCTACCTCCTGGCCTCACGCTGATCGAGCTGTCCAGTCACCCGATCTCGTCAATTGCTGACGACGCCTTCGACTCATCGGCGGATACTCTAGAAACTTTCACAATAAAAGAGTCGCATCTCACCAGTTTACCAACAGCACTCAAGAAACTGTCCAAATTAATCAGATTGTTTATTGATGATACGCCAATACAAGTTTGGGATACTGCTACACTGAAGCAGATTGCTCCTACAGTTGAGAATCTAGCGCTCAGGAATGTGAGTTTGTCAACATGGCCAAGCTGGATTTCTGACTTTAACTCGTTACTTACATTAGACCTAAGCGGAAACCCTCTCAACGCTATCCCCGACGACGCGTTTAACTCTTTGAAAGAATCAGTAACCGTTCTTGAACTTAGAAATACTGGCTTGACCCATGTACCACAAGCTTTGTCCACACTCTCAAGTTTGATCAGTCTCGATTTGCGTAATAACAATTTTACAGATGTGTCTGAAATTGAACGGATTGCTGGGTCGCCGTTTGCTAGGAATCTGACTGACTTATTTTTAGACTCAAGTGGGCTCACAGGAGCAGCAAATTTGACAAATTTGACAAGTCTAAAAGTTATTGGCTTATCTAATAATAGAATATCAGATGTAGCTGCTGGCTCACTCCCCAGATCTTTAATAGCATTGTACCTTTCAAACAACAGTTTGTCATCCGTACCACAAGATGTGGCTTTTTTGAATAGTCTTACTGATTTATACTTGTCTAACAACCGAATCAAAGAAATTGAACCTACCTCGTTTCCCTCAAGTCTGGTATATCTTGATCTACATTTTAACAATTTAACAGTGATTACAAACACAACTTTCACACATCTCAGTCTACTGGAACATCTTCTCCTGAATTTTAATCCTATCTCAACGATCGAACCTGCGGCATTCTCAGATCTGGTATCGTTGCAACAACTTTCATTGATAGAAACCCACCTGACAGAAATCCCTCTAGCTTTTTCCCTGTTAAGCCCACAGACAGACCTCTCAATCACTACGACACAGCCATTCTCCTGCCCTTGTCCAGCTCCTCGGGAACTAGTTGAATGGTATTCTTCCCGGGCATTATTTTCAACCATCCATTTATACTGCAGTAGCGGACAACTTATTGACTCTTATCTGAGTGGCCAGTGTAGGTAATCGTCCTTCACGCCTTTACACATCTTTTGCCTTAGCTTTGAGCTCATCTTCATACTAACACCTCTCTAATTCTCTTCAAGTGTGTATTTGTTTGCCCATTTCATCTCTAGACCTACGGGCTCCAGTGTTAGGATCTTAGTATATTTCAGCAGATTTACCATGTCGTGACCTATCCAGCGTTGCTGTCCATTATGTTCTCTTGCTTTGCTGGGATTTGTTTGTTGATCTGCCATCCTAATTGTTCCCTTTATTCTGTGTAAACACCATTTCTTCTTATTCTTCTTTGCGTTCACAGGCAGCTAACTCCGGCGTAAAATTCTGGTTGTTCGTCCACCCCTGGACTCCAGTCCGGTTCCAGAACCCGAGTGTTCCCTTTATATCCTTTTCACAGGTCTGGCTCATTTGAATGCAGACTGTTTGTTCCCCACATCTCATGCAGATGTACTTCGACTTTGAAAGAAGCTCCCACTTAGTCAACTTATACGACATGCTTTTGGACATGCAACACCATTTAATCAATTCTTGTTAGTCTGCGTTTATTTTCGGCACTCCCCACATTTCTCAGCCGCATAGACTGTGTGCTAATGATATTTCCTTTGCCTTCCAATGATTTAAAGCTCCTTTCACCTGTTGTTGTCTCAGACTTATATGTCTGTGGATAATCATCTTTTTCTGCATTGCAGTGGAAACAGTTATATGGCAGCACTTGTTCAAGCCTATTTAAGCAGAGGAAGCTATAAGAGTGTGTTGCTTGCCTGGTTCATCATTACTGTCTTTGTTTTTTCAGTGGGATAGTGGATTTAACTTGTGTACCATTTTGAATTTTTTTTTATTCCTAACTGTCACCTAGGAAACCGTTGTAACACATAAGAACAGACAATAAACAGATTTTACAGAAAAGTGAATATCTCTTGAGGACTTTACGTTATTCTCGTTCTCTTTCATAGTACGTGCAACTGTCAGATATTAATTACCACCTTGTTTGTATTATTATACCTATATTTTTTTCCTTACCTCTCTCTCTCTCTCTCTCTCTCTCTCTCTCTCTCTCTCTCTCTCTCTCTCTCTCTCTCTCTCTCTCTCTCTCTCTCTCTCTTTCTTTCTCGTTTGTGAATGTTGGTTTGTTGTGAACAAACATATCAGATATAGAAGAAGTGAAATGTAAGTTACATCACTGACAGATGTTTTGACCATCGTGCTGCCTGCATATTCAGAAAATCCGTGGTTCTTAATTTGTTTTCATTGACTGGTTTTTCAATAAAATTAGAAATGAAAGAATCGACTACATCGTATCCGGTTGATACCTAGGCCGTGTCTGCCCCCATCACCTGTGAATGGTTAACCGGTATCTTGTATTGAGTGTAATTATGTTTTGTTTTTTTTTAAATATATTATTATAAATATTTGCAATGTCGCACATAGAGATAATTATAATGATAATCATAAACATATTAATTAACAAGGCGCAAGAGCTTGAGTAGTCTTCTCATATACATATTAGGAAAGCTCATATTTCCCCCCTTCCCTCCCCTTCCCTTCATCACCACCTCTCTACACTTCACTGATTTCTATGCGTTGGCGTTGCTACTGGAAGAACTACAAGATTGCTACTGGAACTGCACAGCTGCAGAGAAGAGGCCGCTCGTTATTCATCCACACTACAAATGGAGTAGCTGGTAAGGATCTTAGGTTCGTCATGTGTCCACTTTGGGATTTCGTTTCCTCTATAGGATTTTGTTTCCTCTATAGAATTGTGTTTCCTCTATAGGATTATGTTTCCTCTATAGGATTTTGTTTCCTCTACAGGATTTTGTTTCCTCTATAGGATTGTGTTTCCTCTATAGGATTGTGTTTCCTCTATATGATTTTGTTTCCTCTATAGGATTGTGTTTCCTCTATAGGATTTTGTTTCCTCTATAGGATTGTGTTTCCTCTATAGGATTTTGTTTCCTCTATATGATTTTGTTTCCTCTATAGAATTTTGTTTCGTCTATAGGATTTTGTTTCCTTTTTAGAATGTTGTTTCCTCTATAGGATTCAAGAATGTCAGTGCCAACGGATTGTAGTACAGCGCAAACATATAGACTCGATGTGAATTCGAACACCAGACTTTCGCGGTGGCAAAAAAATATTTAGCCTTGACGCTACCTCAGCTTCCCTGTTTTATCTATAGCGTCAACATAAGGCCATTGTAGGACTTCCTGTGATCTGAGCCCCATTTTTGTTTATTGGTCAACACCTTGCTTTGGTTTCCACTGTGGCGTCGGAAGCCGACCATTCAATTGGCAAGAGCAAACTAAAATCGTCTAGTAAAAGCACAGGTACTACTCACTATCCTGCCCGCGTGAGCCCGGGAGATTTCCTGTCTACTCCCATTCCTTTCCGTGACCGTTCCCACGGACTGCTGTATGTTCTAGGAGTGTCACGTTGTGTTTTTTTAATCGATCTAAACGTTATATGTTCCACATTGTGAGCGGTCATCAGCACGTTCTCTTTTCCTTCTCGGTGTCAGTGGCCGGCGGTATTGTGCGAGTTACAACCTTCTATGTTGCGTCTTCATCGTTATTCACTGCTGCCTTACTCGGTGACTGGAAGTACCAGATGTGTACGCTACATGCATCCACACTGTCGGTACTATACCCCCCCCCCCCGCCCCCCGCCCTTCCTCTTTAAGGCCTGTAAAATACGCTTTGAAGTTGGAGTAAACTATGAGAAATTGTGCTTGTTTGCCCTGTTACCCTCGTGACATTCTAACTCCCTCTGTGGAAATGTAGACCTAACTGGTGTCATGTTTTGTGTTACTTCTAGTCAACAAACATATTTTACGAAACTTTTGCAAAATGTTCAAGCTGAAATAAAAAGATTTTACGGAAACGAAAATATCTCTACAAACTTCACATTTTTCTTGCCAACGTCCATAGTACATAGGACCGTGTGTTCTAGTAAGTCTTTGTTTTTTGTTTTTTTTTCAAAGCCGTTATCATTTCTTTTAAAATTCTGTTTTTAAATCTGTGAGTGTGAGTTTGTTGTGAATGGATATCGTATGAACGCATATCAAACACAGTAGTTGTGAAGAAAACACCTCGGAGAGTAGTTGACAGACCTGCAAGACCTGTTGCCTACATATTCGGAAAATGCATCTTTTTTTTTTTTTTTTTTTTTCAATTCGTTGAAGACACTTAAAATAATAAAAATAAAATACACGATGATGATTCTATATTTTTATATATATCTATATATGTTGTCAAAAAAATGACTGTTACTTCTTGATGCTTTCCTGATGTTCTGTTGTCTGTACACTGGCTTCTGAAACGATATATTTGTTTGTGTGTGTTGTTGTTGTCATGTATCTGTGTGGTTCCCTCTTTGCTTGGATTTTGATTGAATAGTTGCATGGCTACACTTGTTCAAGTGGGGTTAAACTATGAGAGATGGTGCTATTGTTTGCTTAGCTCACACTCATTATATTTCTTATTGTTGTGTGTTTTTGTTTAATCCTCTCTCTTGATGTGAATGTTAGTTTATTGTAAATAAACATATTAGGTATATGTTGTTGTTCGTTAATCAGAAGTGATGATGACTACTCTTTCTTTCATCCGTCATAAAATTACAAATGGATGTTTGTGAGTCCAGAGATGACCTATACGCCCAACACGAGCACGGAAGGGTCTAGGACAAGGAGGACAGGACATAGAGTCTGTCACGAACAGCCCGGGTTTTGGTTAGGAAAAAGAAAAAATCCACTGCCCTCTGGCAGGCGAGTAACCAATAGTCTGCATAAAAAAAGACCAGATCCATAAAACGGATGTGCACCCAAAGCTCAGATTTGGGGAAGGTTCAGAAAATGACCAACAATAGTGTTCCATATCTCATTTTCGCTCTGTCAAGATATCTCAAGTTAATTGTGTCAGGGATGTCTCGCTGTTATTGTGTCATGGATATCTCACATTTATTGAGTCAGTGATCTCTCACTTTTGCTGCGTCTAGGATATCTCATTGTCATTGTGCCTGGGATATCTGCTCCTAATCTGATTAATCTGTGAGCATGAAGAGCTAGCCCAGTGTGCCCAGTTCATCTGAAAGCGCCATATGATGAACATAATTTTTGTTTCCCCTACTGACCACATCTAGCACCATAGCTCAAGGCGCCTTTGATGTGAAAACATTTATTTATCTAAAATCAAGAAGAGCTAAATTAAACATAAAATCTGACTAGACAGCTCAACAGGTGGAAGGGGACGGGCACGAAAACACCCGAACGTTTCGACCTAAGTCTACATCAACGGAGTAAATATTTTTGTTTTCTATTTAGTATGCAGTTGTTAAAGATTGGTCGAAACGTTAGGATGTATTCGTGAAAGATTTTTCCTTCACTCCTTTATGCTTTCTTGTGGCATTTTATGTTGTATTAAGCACTTCTTGCCATTAGCTAGACTTCAGTCACTCTCTGTTTTCGTCATTATATGCACTAATCAGTAAGTGCATTTCTCAATATTCAATATAATTAGTGATTGGTAATTAGAAAAGATTTTGATCACAGCACTCCGGACAGATCAATAGGTGCTCTGATTTTCTCCTCAGAAGCTCCACAAGTGTAAAACGACTGATGACGCCTGTTTATATGTTGGTTAATGAGACATCTTGTCCTTTTAGTTAAATTTCCATTTCTTGCAGCTACAGGCTGCACCCCTTGGTATATCAGTCTGGATAGGCATATGAAGTCATGTCCTTTGGCGTGCTCCTCGGTACGGTAAGTGCAACGCATTACATTGATAACATTACTTTTGTCTAGTACTGGGCCAGCCATAGCAACTGCAGTGTCAGCAAGATAGTCTGCACGCTAGTTTCATTGAACACCCGCATGACCTGGCACAAAGATGAAAGTTAGGGCAGATATTCGTGAAGTGCTTTTTTTTTTCAATCCATTCTTGCCTGACAAATCCAGTTTGGGTTTTTTAAGCATATTCACTGAGTCACTAAGAAAGCATACGTGTGTGAACTTTTAAGTGTCAAGCCATACGAAAGCCCTTGTTACAGCCAGTTTCCATTGTAAATCTTCTAGTTGTAACAGCAAAGGCGCCATTCATCTCCTTGATGGTTTTCCCCATTGAGCTTACTGTGAAGGCCCATGCAATTCGCTTGCCCCTAATTACTGACCCATCTGTGTAAACTACAGTATCACCGTCATCTGTGTTTTCGTCAATCAGTGTTCTGACTAAAGTGTCAAAAATGCCAGGAATCTGCTCTCTACAGCTTCCATCAAGTCGGATATTGACTTTAATATTAATGTTTGGAGAGGTGGGCAACTTTGAGAAAAGCAACATCCCTGGATAGCTCGATTCTGTTTTCCATTGTGGGGAAATCCAAGAGGTATCGCATGGATTTACAGGAGGTGTCTCTAGTGCATCCAAGAATAATGCGCATTGCCTCGTTTTCAATTTTTTTCTAGAGTGTTTATCTGTGTGGTGCTGAGTGTTATGATGGCCAAAGCATATTCATTGCTGGAGAGAACTAATGTACGATACAACATTACTAGCATTCAATATGCAAATTGTCAAGGATAAAACATTTTCAAAATTCTAGAGCATATGTCGTGTCCCATAGGGTCACTATCAGCAGCGAAATATAACATTTTTTCAAACTTTGCAGTCTTGTTCGTGTTTTTTAATCAGTGTGAATCGTGTATGTCTGTATCTGTCTAGAGAATATATAAAAGCGTTGATGTTGCAATTGGGTTTTGAATTCTGACCGACGGGTTTTGAAGGTGAGTGGTTTTTTTCATTACAATATTTCCCGGTGTGACATTGGGGACTATGATTTGAAGGAAAGCTCAGTTGATCCTCTGACCCCAAAGGGCATATCTAAAAAAGCAACTACTTAGGAGTTTCTCAAATCGGATGTGTTAGACCCAAGGAACAGATATCGTAGCCTATCTGAAAACCTCAACACAATGTACAAACCGCATCTTTTAGGGCGAACGCCAAAGAAGCAGAAAAAGAAGAAGCATAATATTTGTACAGCCCCATCAGCACTAAACGAATGAAGTGGTCAACATCACACTGATCGCCTTTATTTTCCAGGAATTTTCCTAGTACTGAGTTTGGCTGAGTCGACCTGAGGGCTAATGTAATTGTTTTAATCTGTGTGGTCGGATTTGAACTCCAAGACTTCGGATCGGCAGAAAGGGTCTAGGTCACTATTTTATAAAGTGGGTGCTACAGCCCCCACCATGGGGACACTGGGGCGGTCCAATAGGTTGCAGTAGCGACCAAAAAAAAGATGAGGGTGGTGGGGGGAGGGGGGAGCGTTAGGCCAAACAAAATTTGGGGAGACACCGGTCTAGACACGGTGCTACAACGGACTGAGATAGTTGTAGAGACATGCATATTATAAATTGTCGTTCTTAACCGAAAACTAAAGCAAACACAGAGATTCGTGTTGGGTGGAGGGAGAGAGAGTGAGTGAGATAGAGTGAGACAGAGGGAGTGAGAGAGAGAGTGTGAGATTAAGAGAGAAAGTGAAAGAGATAGTGAGAGAGAGAGAGAGAGAGAGAGAGAGAGAGAGAGAGAGAGAGAGAGAGAGAGAGAGAGAGAGAGAGGAAGAGAGTGAGAGAGAAAACATAAATACTTTACGTAACAGACATTTATTAGTAAATAACTGGAAACAGTTAGTTGCTTATTTTTTACAGGACGCTGCAGAACTAACCCCAACAGCCCCTGGCCCGCAGCTGGGATCGAACCCCGCATCCCGGCATAACGAAGCGTTCACATCGACTTAGTCACAGAGCCGACATTAGTAAATAACGAAACTGATATTCTATTCTCCTTTACTAAACAAAAGTGAGGCACAAGAAAGATGGAGGAATCTACAAGAAACTTTCTGATTGTGTTGTTTATTTGGGTCTTGTGTGTCATGCAGACAATTTCTCAGGTGTGCCCTTACAGTGTCGCGGTGAGTCAATCATCTTTATTCTTATTGTAGACAACGTGTAGGCTAGAATGTAGGCATTTTGTAGGCTACGTTGTAAACATTGTATAGATTACAATGTAAGCATTTTGTAGGTACAATACAGGCATTATTTTAGCTACTCTGTAAGCAACGTGTAGGCAACAATAGACGCATCTTATAGGCTATATATAGGCATTATATAGATTACCAGTTAGGCATAATGTAGGCTACAATGTGGGTATCGTCTAGGCTACAATGCGGGTATTGTGTAGCTTACAATGTGGGTATCGTGTAGATTACAAAGTGGGTATCGTGTAGTTTACAATATGGGTATCGTGTAGTTTGCAATGTGGGTATCGTGTAGGTTACAATGCGGGTATCGTGTAGTTTACAATGTGGGTATTGTGTAGGCTACAATGCGGGTATTGTGTAGTTTACAATGTGTGTATCGAGTAGGCTACAATGCGGGTATCCTGTAGTTTACAATGTGGGTATCGTGTAGGATTAAATGGAGGCATCGTTTAGGCTACAATGGAGGCGTTGTGTAGGCTACAATGGAGGCGTTGTGTAGGCTACAATGGAGGCGTTTTGTAGGCTACAATGGAGGCGTTGTGTAGGCTACAATGGAGGCGTTGTGTAGGCTACAATGGAGGCGTTGTGTAGGCTACAATGGAGGCGTTGTGTAGGCTACAGTGGAGGCGTTGTGTAGGCTACAATGGAGGCGTTGTGTAGGCTACAATGGAGGCGTTGTGTAGGCTACAAAGGAGGCGTTGTGTAGGCTACAATGGAGGCGTTGTGTAGGCTACAATGGAGGCGTTGTGTAGGCTACAATGGAGGCGTTCTGTAGGCTACAATGGAGGCGTTGTGTAGGCTACAATGGAGGCGTTGTGTAGGCTACAGTGGAGGCGTTGTGTAGGCTACAATGGAGGCGTTGTGTAGGCTACAATGGAGGCGTTGTGTAGGCTACAAAGGAGGCGTTGTGTAGGCTACAATGGAGGCGTTGTGTAGGCTACAATGGAGGCGTTGTGTAGGCTACAATGGAGGCGTTGTGTAGGCTACAATGGAGGCGTTGTGTAGGCTACAGTGGAGGCGTTGTGTAGGCTACAATGGAGGTGTTGTGTAGGTTACAATGTAGTCATCGTGTAGGTTTCAATGTAGGCGTCGTATGGGTTACAATGTAGGTATAATGTAGGTTAAAATGTAGGCGTCGTGTAGGCTACAATGTAGGTATAATGTAGGTTACATGTATAATTACATTGCTTCCTTCAGTGCTAGATCATTTTAAATTTAACTTTTGTATTTAAAAAAAAAACGATGTTTAAATCCCCGCCAGAGATTTGTATCACAGTACGCAGTACTGGCACCTTTGTTTACAATAATAGACACTTTATGCTGTATACCGGTACTTTTCAGACACTTTGTGGTGAATATCGGCAGTATTTAGAGACTGCTCTATCAAATAAATGATGCTTTAAAAATGATTCAGACATTAAATCTATTACAAAGCTGACGATAAAGTAACAACACAGTCAGTGAAGCAACTTAATGAAACAGAAGAAGTAAATCAAAGTACAAGGAAAAGTTAAAAAGTGAGTCACACATGGTTATAGATTGGCTGGAAAATGTAGTTCTTCTTCTGCCTTTTTAACCCCCAATGGAGCATAGGCCCTCAACCAACTTACGCCAAGTCGTTCTATCCATTGCCATTGCATGGAGCTCTCCCCATCTCCTCCCCATCTTTCTAACTTCATTCTCCAGCTCTCTTTTCCTTGTGTTTGTTGGCCTTCCTTTATTCCTATGCCCCTGCGGGTTCCAATGCAAAGACATTCTAGTTATGCTGTTCTCCTGTTTTCTCAGTGTGTGCCCTATCCAACGTCAGTGTCTTTTCCTCACCTCTTGGTCCACTGGAGCCTGTTTAGTTCTCTCCCAAAGTTATTATATCATACAATTTAATTCCCTCTATTCTGCGCAGGCACAGTTTATGAATGTCTGTAATTTATTAGTAATTGTCTTAGTTGTTCTCCATGTTTCCGCCCCATACAAAAGTACTGATTTGACATTAGAATTAAAAATTGCTAGTTTAGTATAAAATGTAGTTAGTGCTTTCTAAAGATGTCATTAGGTGGCGCTAGCTGTTGCATGCACATTCGCAAGAGAGAAACAAAAAGGTCACTGTACCTACGGAGTGTACCCTCAACGAACAACGCACTGTTGTACGTTTATGTGTGTGTGTATGTGAGTATGTGTGTGAGGCGGAGGAACACGAGTATCTAACATTGAACAAAGAACTTTGAGATGAACTACGCTGAATAACTTTGAACACAAGTACCTTGAGATAAACTACGTTAACAAAATTATATTGATTTAAAATTCTGCTGTTAAATAACAGGTATGACATGGCCCCATTTATATCATAGGAATCCTTTTAGTGACATGATCCCAGTTATATCACAGCCTGTCTTTTAGTAGCATGTTGCCATTTTTATCACAGCCATCTTTTTAATGACATGATCCCATTCATACGAAAGAAGTCCTTTTAGTGACATTACCTCATTTATATCACAGCCATCATTTTGATGACATAATCCCATTCATACGAAAGAAGTCCTTTTAGTGACATTACCTCATTTATATCACAGCCATCATTTTGATGACATAATCCCATTCATACGAAAGAAGTCCTTTTAGTGACATTACCTCATTTATATCACAGCCATCATTTTGATGACATAATCCCATTCATACGAAAGAAGTCCTTTTAGTGTCATTACCTCATTTATATCACAGCCATCATTTTAATGACATAATCCCATTCATACGAAAGAAGTCCTTTTAGTGACATTACCTCATTTATATCACAGCCATCATTTTAATAACATAATCCCATTTATATCACGACCATTTTTTAGTGGCATGATCCCATTTATATCACGGCCATTCTTTTATTTGTGTGATCGCATTTATATTACAGGTATCCTTTTAGTGACATGATCCCATTTATACTACGTACATCATTTTAGTGACATAATCCCATTTATATCACTTCAATCCTGTTAGTGACATAATCCCATTTATATCACAACCACCCTTTTATTTGCGTGATCCCGTTTATATCACAGCCATCCTTTTAGTGACATGATCACATTTATAACTTAGCTTTGAATGACATGGCCTTATTTATATCACAGCCATTCTTTTAGCACCATGACCGGATTTATGTCATGTGACTCAGTGTGTCTCGTGTGACTTGAGAAAGTTTACTGTTTTTTCTAGTCCTATTAATGTTCCATTGTCTGTTTACATATGTACAAGGTAATGCTAACCTTCAGTACCATCTGACTTCTGTGGCTTGAAAAAAATTACTATTTTTGGCTATAATGACAGTGTCACGGCTACTGGCTACAGTCTTGGCAGCGATGATACATAATTATTGGGTAGGTGATAAACACGCTTACTATATCAACAAAAGACCACATACTTTGTGTTGAGCTGAGATTGGTAAAAAATTGACATCACAACACTCTGGGCATATCTATGCATACTCATTTTCAGCAGTAAGCGCAGAGCTCCAATACTGATGGTACCGATCACAATCTGGTTATATGTTCGTCTTGACTTTATCTCTGAGTGCAGTGAGTCGGCCAGACCCTCTGGTTACACACAAGTGCCAAGCCATAATAATCTTGTTTCTCCACCGATTCCTTTGCTTGCTGCTAAAGAAACATACTTTGTGTAGCACTTGTGACTGCTATATATTATTGCTCCTCTACGCCAAAGCTGACTCTCCAAGAAGCTGTGTGGATTAGACAGAATAATTGTGAACGATGTGGTTGATGGTAGAAAAGGAATCTACCTGCAACCTTGACAGTGGACACATGAGGTTTGAGATACAATAGTCATAACACTTCAATAATTAAAATTCGTCAACAATAAAAAATCTTCCCGGGAAGTTATAATAGCGATTTTCTACAAAAGACATCGCTTTCTAACAATACAGACAACGATGTGAGTTACTGGCCCTTTAACTGTTTATGGTGTTCCATCTGTAAGCTTTATAGTCTCTTAGCGTCTA